TAAAAATTTAGCAACTTTGGTATGCTTTGAATACCTATATGTTTGGTAATGTTACTATTATTCATATTAATTGTCTAGAGGTGTGAGAAAATGTTTTCCTAATTATCACCGTGCACTATTGTTGTTTTTATTTATTTATCGATAAGTTTTATATATTTTAGATGACAAGTAAACAAGTAAAAAGTGGGAAAAAAAGATAAAAGAAAAGGCCAATGACGAGAAGAAAAAATATACAAAATATGCCATTGTTTTATGTATGATATATATTAACGAAGAAGGGCAATGTTCTTTTCGTACCTTGTACCAGAATAGAAAAACAATAACAAAAAACAAAGAGACAGAGAGAGTGTGCGTGTGTGAGAGAGATAACAAACCATTAAGCGTGTGTATGCAGTCAAAGGTATTCATTTTTATCTGAATACGGTAATGCATATGATAGTTATGGAATTAGAAAACAATTGGCTTGCGCACTGCATCATTAAACAGCGTAATAGATATAAATTTTAATTTTCCAGTTTTCGCTTAACCTATAAAAAATACCGTTGCCTTAGCGCAGTTAAGTACAATATCTACGGTATCGTTGATTTAAAAATTGTTACGACACTGGGCCAAGCGCTTGATTCGCCAGACTCTTGATTTGCAAATTGCAGTCAATTCGTAAGCGAAAACTTTCGACGAATATCTTAATTCCTCTATCTAAATGGATTTTACAATTTACAAGCAATCGGGCATAAGTGAATTATAAATATTCGCTTATCTTACACTTCAGTCGCCGTTAAGAATTTTCGACTTTCCTCCCCATTGATATATCCCCTCGATGCTTCAAGGCCTTATCACTCAGATAAATACTTTTTACGCTCTATACAAGTATGAAATACCGAAATAACCAAGACGTTGGCTACAACCTATTTCAACATGCAACACTAAAATATCTGTATTTCGCAAGAGCGGGGAATGCGAGGGAATGCATTGTACGCAGATGTAATACTTATTGAAAAGCGATAAATTTACCGAATGCAAAATAAAAGCATTCCATAAAGTCTTGGAAAGTCTCGGCAAGGCAAGTTTAATAGTCCGCGCCAACTCGAATAGCACATTTACACAACCGTAGCTATATAATTACATCTTTACTTGCGAGGCCCTTTCGCGAGAAACTTCGTCATTACGCGAATATCGCCTCTCGTATTATTCATTGATCGGGCCGACAGCAAAGGAGCTTTTCATCCTTCAACCACATCGTAAACACCGCCAAAGCTCCTTCCGTCCGTCGCCGGCTCCTCTCCCGCGCATCCACTCTTCCAGTTTCTAAGTGACTTTATCGAATTGCCCTTGCTGACGCGCCAAACTCCGTCCCTCGCTTACGAAACACGGCGTCTACCCTATCCACACCCCCTCCTCCTCCTCCTCCTCCTCCTCCTCCTCCT